GTTAGGGTATCCGCCGCCATACGAACGCGAGTAACTCCTTTAACGAACTCCCAAACGAAGTTCGGCTTCTTACTTCTCCGATTTCAGAGTTACGACGCTCATCTAATTAATATCAAGGATTCCACGCTCGGAAGATACTTGAAACACGTGCCTTCGCTTTCACCGGCGGATGTCATCCTTTTTTTTCTTCTTTCTCATCCCCATCTTTCTCTCTCTCTCTCTCTCTCTCTCTCTCTCTCTCTTTCCCTCTCTCTTTCACTATTCGTTTCTTCACAATTAGAGGATAGTCTAAAGTTCTTACCCGTTAGAGAACTGGTTGGAAGGAATTACTAATTACTTACTCCTTCCAACTTGAATTTAAAACTGTCCCAAGTTGGCTCGTTTTCGTTTATTCGGTTACGCTCTTCGGCTGTTGCTGTAGCGCGCACAGCGTGAGTGGGCAATTAAAATTTAGCTTCGACGTGATATCACGTAATTGACGTGACTTCCCGCCGCGGACTAGATACAGGCGAAACATGATTTTATTGCGCGGGCGTGTCTAATAACTTATGCTCGCGCTGAGCTCAACCCCTCCCGAAAACTTTACGCCGGAGATATATTTTCGTTCATCGTCGTTATAATAGACGTTATAATAGGAGGAGATTGAGGTTGCGAAGGTGGAGTTTCAAACTCGCATAAATGTGTGTAGCGCGCGGCGCGGCGCGGTCTCCTTCCACGTTTCTGATTACTTTGCAAACTTTGTGCTAGTCGGAACGATGCAACGGAAGCTTTTAGACACTTGTTTCTGGTGCGTTACGCAATCTCTATAAGCCAGGTTTTACAGGATACAACGAAAGAGACTGACTGCTAGCAAAACAGATACAGAGGTTAATGCATTTACGGCGAGAAATATTCGCGTTTACCGCCGCGATCAAAACAGATGGAAGAATTCGCAGCTTTAACGAGATTTTTAATCTATTGAGTTCGATAAATAAAATTTATCAAGAAAGCGTGTCGACGAGTTCATTCCGATTTATTTTTCCGAACGTATAGCCCCGCGCGGAGACCACAATTGCAGTCAGCAAGACCGCATCGCTCGCGTGCATTTGGAATGCAGGTCGGTACAATTGCGCGCTCGTGTTGCGTGTTCCGTCCAGTCCAATGTATCGCCCGAACAATATAGCACGTCAGCTTTTGTCCGCGCTGTCTGTTTCATCCGCCGTTAATAAAATACCTTTCGAAGGTATTGCGCCCGAGGAAGAACATTTCCTTCGCCATTCGCTGCGCATGATAGCTGCTCGCGAAACACTGCTCGCAAAGGAACATAGAGAGACACTTGTATGTTTCAACTGCAACAAACACTTGATGTGTTTGCATCGCAATGAATGAAAACAGAATGTATACGCGTGACGATGTGAGATATATTGTTCCCGAGCTGATTATAGTATATTCGGGAAAAGTAACGTGTAATATAACAAACGAAAAGTGATATTGAACGAAGAGCAATTTTGTCTCCGACCTGGCAAGTGCCAAAGAATAGGGTAATGAAATAAATGTCGAAGCGCCATGTACCTTTATGTTCATTTGTAGTATCGCCATTGTTTGTTTTGTATAGTGTAGTAAACAATAGATGCGCAGTTAATGGCGAGCGATCGGGTGATTTCTCATCACAAAAAGAAAGAGAAAAGGGCAACATTGACATTCTCGTAGGAAGTGGAAAGAATGAAACGCATGGAACAAATAACATCACGTGTGGAATTCCCACGCACTTTTTCTTCTATGAGATTTTTTTTTATATCACAATAGCGTGTTTAATAAAATATTGATCGAATTAATATGGAGTAGCGTAATATGCTTGCACCGTTATGCCAATGATAACTGTATAATTATCGTAAAATTATCTCATCGTAATAATTACTGAAATGTACCGTATATTTTTTTCGGACAAATGTTGACATTAATTCCGAAGAATAGTTTCACAAGAACAAACGCGTCAATTTTGACTATTTACAATCGGCTATCAACTTTAACGAATTGGTGTTCGATTATGCGGCCTCCTTCAAACTTGCCTTACCGCTGTAATATTGCGAATTTCGCCGAACGAAACTAACTGATTTCCCACGGGATAAATCCCGAGCAAAGCTGCCATGCCTTGCAGGAAATGCAACGTAAATTTATCGTAAAGGCTTAGATTGCGATTTCACACGGACACGCTCCCGACTCTTTGCTTTGAATCGTCCCCCAGATAAATCTTAAAATATTTACTAGATCGGTTTTCTTCTCTTCGTTCCCCTCTCTTCCTTGTGTCGCGATTCTAGTATGTGTATCTTGTTTTACTGTCGTGATTCATAATTTGTATACAAATAAAGAATGATAAGAAGAGAAACGCAAATTATACGAAATTATTTCGTATTATTCACACAAAGTTACTGTGGCAATATTTCATGTCATAGAGATACAGATACTTTAATGCTTGAAAATATAAAGTACGAAATTCAGAGACAAATAAATCACGATATGCCGTCAATATTACGAATCCCACAGAGCGTATGGCACGATACGCGTTACGTGTTCAAAATTTTGGACAGAAGTATTGATCGTAAATCGTCGCACTGGCGTGTTTCAATTCCCATTACTAGAAGGGAGCGGAGTGTGCGTGTGGCCCTTACGAATGTTACGCAGCATCCCAAGCAAGCATCGATTTCATTCGAGGGTTGACTAAGAGACTGGGATTGAGGGACTCTTCTCGAAAGATTGAGGGACGATGCCAGATTACTGAATATGTCGCGCCTTTAAAAGACGAGCAGATCCGTATAGCAAAATAGGATATTAATTCGCAATGTCGCTGAATCGATAAACTTACTTACATTAGATGATTTTCATAAAGATAAATACATAATTTCCATTAACAGGCGAATTAAAAATATTTTATAGAAATTTATTTTTCAAAGTTGAAGATTATTAATTTAGAAGAATTTTGTAATTTAACCAGTCGCGATCTAAGTATTTATTTTAATTAGTTATTTTTTCTGCAAATGTTGTATGTCCTGTTGTTTCTCTATAATCCTATTTATATTATTTACTTGTTTAAAATCTTTTGAATTCGAGAGAACACATTGCAATATCCTGCGTGAAAATCTAAACTATATCGCGATTGAGTTAAGATTTTCGGATACCATATTCGCAAAGCGTTTGGGATTCGATGCGGACTTGAATACGTGAGGAATTACGAAGCTCGCAACTGTTTGAGAATTCATGACACTGTCCCGCACCAGTAAAGTATCCAGATCACTCGATCGCCAACGGCGAATTCCTAAGAATTCCTTATATCGTTGAAATAACTGGTGTACGTGCCCGAGAGGCGGAAGCGACTTCAATTTTTGTCTCCGAGGAGTGAAATCCGGGACGAAGTCCGTGCGAGCGGAAAAATTTGCACGCCGCAGAAAGTAGCGGTCTGACCACTGCAAGCGCGCCGACATCGCCGGCTCCGCCGTCCGGACAGGTAGTCGATATTTCCCGCGGAACCGTATTTAAGCATGGCATTTAATGGTAACGCTGAACACGTTATACGACTGACCTTTCTCTGAGCCGCAAACGTTCATACGCGCGTTTATTTTCCGCACAGAATGCACGGGTGCGCGTATTATCGAGTGCAGGTAGCAGGCTATTTACGAAAGGTCAGCCGGGGGGTCGAGTCCGAGGTCCTTAGGGGTGAATACGTGAGGGCTCGACTGAATATCGTCGAATTCTCGAGTGCACTGTCCTCCGTGTTTAGTTTAGGACGTTCAGATATTAGCCGGCGCGGAAGCCACAAATAACGGCAACGTTTAGTGTGCGGCCGATAAAGCGGGGCAGGAAAGTACAGCCGGTTAACCACTTTTAATCGAGGTTGCACCACCCGACCGTGTGCAGTCGAAGCTGATATATCGGATAGCGTTCGCTCTGTTTTCAACGGGATATACTCCCGGATCGCGCCTGAAGGCTCTCCCTGCGTTGTTTACGTAAGCTCGTTCCACTGGTTTTATCCAGTTCTGCGAGCGTAGCGAAGTCTCGCGCGGAAATACTCTGCTCGTATATCGTCGCGATCTTGTCGCGTTTTCTACCGGACAATGATATCTTCTCATAAGCGAATGGCACATGTTTCACATTTACTAGTTATACTCTGTAAATGTTTCGCTGCATGTTAGTAATGAGAAAAAATGCGTGACCAAAGGTGCGGTTTCTCCATTTAT